GCCCAGTACATGGGAACCATATGCAGTGCTGAGGATTTCACACCTGTATTCACGCACTCTTTCTGGCCCTTGGAGGACAATTTAGCTCCTAGAGGAAATTTCTCTTTGTGTGTTGGACCACACCCAAAGTTACTCCTGTCTCTACAGGAATTGCTCCTGGCTGTATGTACGTGGGCACTATATGGGACGGTTTAAACCTGGAGCACTGCATGCAAGGCAAGCACCCTACCTGCTATACTATCTGGCCACTGGAGGACTGTCCCTTTTCTGTTTGGCACTAAGATATATCATTTCAAAATTTCAAGTTACGAGGAACTGTGTGTTCTTTCCTCTCGGTCCATTGTTCACTTGTTCCACTTGCTTTATCACATTTCTCCAAATATATCTTGTTCTGCACCGTTGGGGGTAAACTGAAAACTCTCATGCCTGTAGTTACTGTGTATTTCCTAAGAGCAAGGGCACACACAGCACAATAATAGATACTAGACTTATCAAATTAAAATGATACTATTATTTAAACCCCAATCCACATTAGATGTCCTTAAATTCTTCAGTTGTGTCCTTCAGCAATTTTTCTCAAATTGGATTCAGTCCAGAATCCAATCCAGGATCTATTCCATGATTGCACATTACATTTGTTATGTCTTTCCAGTCTCATTTAATCTGGAAGTATCATCTAGTCATTGTCTGTCTTCCAATTTTTTAAATTTATTTTAAAGTTCAAGACCTTTGTTTTGTTGACTAGCTTCAGTTGGATGGTCATGTCTCTGGATGATTAACTTTAGGTTATTCAGGTTATGCCTGTTAGGCAGAAACTATAGCAATGCCGTCTGTCCGTGGTACATCCCCATCAGAACACACATGGAATGGAAGCTGTCCTAATACTAAGATATTGACTTTATGAGCCTAGGCTCATCTGCCAGGTTTCTCCTGACTAGCAGAATGTAATCTTTGAAAATTACTTTGAGGGATTGGAGCAATAGCACAGAGTGTAGGGCGGTTGCCTTGCACATGGCCAGCCCGGGTTCGATTCCCAGCATCCCATATGGTCCCCTGAGCACCGCCAGGAGAGATTCCTGAGTGCAAAGCCAGGAGTAATCCCTGAGCACCGCCAAGTATGACCCAAAAAGCTAAAAAGAAAAAGATACTTTGAGATAGTTTCTATGATCAAAATGTCTACTATTTTAGTGTTCATTATTTGTAATGTCAGTATTCGAAGCTGGCAGCTTGATCTAAAATTTTTTCTTCTGAGTGCAGAGCCAGGAGTAACCCCTGTGCATTGCCGGGTGTGACCCAAAAAGCAAAATAAATAAATTAATTAAAAATAAATAAAAATTTTTCTCATTTGTCTGTACTGATACGAATTTAGGAATCTTACTTTGTCCAATGTAATTTTATCATAGGATACTTTTATGATAGGAGGCCAGAGCCATAGTACAGCGGGCACATTCCTTGCACACAGCCAACTCAGGTTCGATCCCCAACATACAGTCCCCCAAGCCCACCAAGAATTATCTCTAGCATCCCATATGGTCCCCCGACCCCACCAGAAGAAATTCCCAAGTGCAGAGTCAGGAGTAAGCCCTGAGCATCAACATGTGTGGCCCAAAAGCAAAAATAAAAAGTTATTATTAGTTATAAATTAATCCATTATAATAATTTAATGCTCAGGGTCCATGAAGATAGCACAAAGATCTAATATGCATGCAAGTTTGAGCTCTGGCACTACAAGACGCCCTTGAGCATTGCTAGACATGGCCCAAAAACAAAAATTATTTGATGCTTAAATAGTCTAACATTTAGTTAATGGGAGTGCCTTTGGCTGCAAGCCTAAGCAACTGTCTTTTTTATATACACCATTTTTTAATTCCCATGCCTCAGCCCTAGTATCAGCCTTTTCTCTGCTCAGGACTTACTCCTGGCTCTGTGCTCAGGGATCACTCTGGCAATGCTCAAGGAACCATATGTGGTACTAAGGATCAAACCAAGTTCAGCTGGGTGCAAGGCAAATGCCCTACCTACTGTACTATCTGTCTGGCTCTATGGTTTGTTTTAGAAGATATTTAGTGACCAAGATTTCTGAGTTTGGTATTCTCATCACTATTGTGTATCATTCTTCTAGCCTCTCCATGGCTAGAGCTAGCAAACATAAAAAGGTAAAGGCCCTCCCGTTGATCATCGATTTGCTCGAGCGGGCCCAGTAACGTCTCCATTGGAGACTTTGTTGTTACTGTGTCTGGCACATCGAATACGTCACGGGCTGCTTGCCAGGCTCTGCCGGAACTTGCCAGGCTCTGCCGGGCAAACATATGTATTCTATATTACACACACACACACACACACACACACACACACACACACACACACACACACACGTTTCTGTATACATCAAAACCATGAGTTCATATTGATACTCCATTGGAAGATTTTGAAGAGAAGAATGACAGAAACATGACAGATTCATGTTTTACAAGAATCAGTTTGTCCACTGTGTTAAGGGAAAAACTTATCAGGAAAACAGGGAACAAGAGCAAAATTCAGGAAATAATGTTGCAACAATCTGCTAAGATGAGACTGGTTTGGAACCAGGGTATAGTGATGAGGTAGTGAAAAGTAGAACTAAACATTTAGAAACGTTTAGAAATGGGAAGCGAGCAGGAGTTTGGCTGGAATATTTCTGTTGTGATTCCCTTCCTGTTAGAGATCAAACTAGATGTGATAAGGAGAGAGAAGATATATGCACCTGTGATTCAGGGAAGAATTCTGAAGCTGAAAATTTGGACTGTATTAATGTATACTATTAGTTCGTATTTTAAATCATGAGATTGGATATCACCAAGAATGAGTGCAGATAGAGATCATTTGAGTTTTGGGGAACAGTCTGAAACATCCAGAGATCTAGCAAAGAACCACCAAAAGAGTCTGTGAATAAGCTGCTAATGAAGTAGAAAAAATACCATACAGCTGTGGTATCCTGGAAAGCAAATAGAGTGATTCTGTGAAGAGAGAGTGAGCCTCTGTGTCAATTGCTAAGCCATGGTTTAGCAATATAAAGATCATTTGGTAAGAGCAGCGTTAATGAAAGAAACTGATGGCATTTGATTAGAGATGATTCAGGAAGATGTGAAATTGGAGACAGTGGGTAAAAGGTAACTTGTTTGGTCATAGAGGGGTACAGAGAAGTGGAATGACTGGAGGTGATGTGAGGGAGGTACTAAATAGCTTTTGTTGTCTTGTTTGCTTCAAATTGAGATACATTTCAGTATGTTTGCAGGCTAGTGGAAACAGTCCAGTCGAGAAGAAAAAATTGATGATATTGGCCTCCTTGAGAGGACCAGGGGAAATGGGAAATCCAAGTGTAAGGATTGGTCTTAGTACAGTAATGAGGAGAAAGGAAGAATATAGCTCAGACTCTCTCTGGAAGTGCGATTGTGGGGATAAAAAATTTTTTTTTCACATGCCATACTGACTCAGCGGCACCAGAAGTTGAGAAGTCGAAGGAACCCTCTGTTTGGACACCTAATATGATTGCCGATTTGCACTGAGTTTGGTGGCATTAAGACTTAAAACTGCTGTGAAAGGATTTTGCAGGATTTCCTTTTGAAAGAGCAGCAGCAGGAATCTAAGACCCGCAAGAGGGCGCTCCCGGGCTGGTCCTCGTTGGCTAGAGAACCTAGGTCCTAAGAGCCTCAAAATAAATGAGGGATCTGTTTCAAGAGAAGAAAGCGCCGCAGAAACAAAAGAGCGACCAGTCCGTCCTACTCGATCCCAAAACTACCAGCGCTGTGAGCAGGATTCGAACCTGCGCGGGGAGACCCCATTGGATTTCGAGTCCAACGCCTTAACCACTCGGCCATCACAGCCGCATGTAGTGCTGCATCTGCGGCACTATAGCTGCCTGTCATCAGGCCCGCCCGCTTCGCGCCCCAGAACTGTGTTGCGCATGCGCCTTTTAGATCGTACAGGAGAACTTCCTTTACTTGCCCCGCCGATTTCCCTGTCTCTCCACCCTGAAAAGAACCACAGTGCATCGACTAAATTAGCCTGAGCCCGATCCCAACACCCCCTTTATCTGACAACCAGGTAAGAAACCCCGCTTCTCCCTGGGTTATGAGAACACGCGTCCAAATGCACACTAAAAGTGCACCGGAATGAAAGCTCAAAGAGGATTGAAGCAGGAACAATCTTTCTAAAGTCGAGATAAAGCAGCAGCAATAATATACCTCCTAAGGCAAACCGTAGGCACCGCTGGGATTCGAACCCAGGATCTCCTGTTTACTAGACAGGCGCTTTAACCAGCTAAGCCACGGCGCCGGCATGTAACCTGTCGCACCTAGAGGTAGATCTGCTATTAATCTGCTCCGGTAAAGCAATTACAACAGTGTAACAGTGTCTGCCCCTTTCAGTTTTCCCTTCTCAAGTTCTGACCGACACTACACCTTTTTCTTCCACGCCTTCGGATACCAACATGACCTTGAGAACGGATACACGGCTCTGGCTAACCTTTAGTCACCTAAACCGACCTGCTCAAAGCCAACCCTTATGAATTACCCTCAATTGCTTCAGAGGACTACCAAGTGAAGTGTGTTCTCCCCGTCTTCAGGGGTCCATTACCCACGTTGGAGCTTGCCCCCAAGTTGCCTCTCATCTCTCTTGTGAGACAACCCCAGCTATGATAATGCTACAGGTGAGAGTAGGGGTTCAGTATGGTGACAATGTTAGCAGCAAGGTCCTTCAATTAGAAAGTGGACATAGAGGGGGAACTGGGATGTGGCTCACTGGTAAAGTACACGCATGGGTTTGGCCCCCACCCTTTTATTTTTGCTGCAAAAATAAAAATAATTCAAAAAACATAGAATGGTGGGAGGGGGAGAGACATGGATACCCTTAAGGAGAAAACGGTCCATTCTATCTTCTCCAAGCGGGGCGATACCTCCCTACAAAGCTCCCCTCACCCACCCCAAACTTCATCCACAAAGTCATTTTTTCTTTTTGTATTAAAAAAATAACAGACACGATATCAAAAACACAAATGCCATCGGTAGAGGTACAGCTGAGAACGTCTGGGTCCCACCTGAGAGGCAGCACCAGGGACTCCATGGTCCACCAACCTCCCCCACCCTGGAGCAGCTAGGGGTACAGACCACCACTGGGTCCTGCTTGGGCCTCAGACCTTCCTCCCATCAGAAGGAAGGAAAGAGGGCTGTTCCCCCCAATAAATAAGTGTAGCCCAACCCTTGGAACCCAGACTTGGCCGAGCAGGTTTTGGGGAAACCACTTCAGCAGCTTGCCAGCAATGTTGTCCAGGTGAAGGCGGCCTCCTCTCCAGGGGGTACAGGTGAGGCTACTCTGAGCTGGATTGGAGAGTTCCAACCTCTGTTCCCTAAGAGGTCAGAGGCAGCCCCTGGGTCCCTGGCTGGTGACAAGGGTCTCTGGCTTCCTACAGCGGCAGTTGCTTGGGCAGTTTTCTATTGGTTGGTCCAGCCATATATGAGTTCTGAGATTTGGGGCATGGAAGGAACCTTCTCACGCCCTCCTAGAGATGGCCCAGATGTAGTTTAGCTTGTGCCATTTTCTGTGGCAGTTAAGGCTCGACTGGATGAGCTCCCACCTTGTTCTTCCTCCTCCATGGCCAAGTCCTGAGAGCTTGGGACCCTGGTCCCAAATTGGGTCTGGGTCTCATTTCCACCTTCACCAGTGCCGCCACCCTCGCCTCCACCCTCCTCCATAGGCTCCAGCCCCAGTCCATCGAGTTCCGAGAAGAGTGGGTCATCATGGTGGCCACGGTCTTGGGTGCTACTGCCACAGTCCACACAGGCCTTAGAAGGAAAAAGGGAATGAGTGAGTCACACAGAGTTCTCACTGCTGACCTGTCACCCCAACTCCCTGTCCTGCAGTCCAAGAGTATATCCCCAAAGTTATCGTCTAGAAACAACGCACCTGCGTTGGAAAAGCAAGGCTGGAAGATGAATTTTACCTTATGCTGATATAGGAGAAATTCTGAAACGACCTAAATAGCTCATGTGGTTAATACTTTATAACCCATTATAATACTCTATAATACTTCAAAGTAACACCCTAGGGGGAATAGTACAGCAGGCAGCACACGGCAAACCCAGCATCCCATATGGTCCCCCAAGCACCACCGGAAGTGATCCATGAGAGCAGAGCCAGGAGCAACTCCTGAACATCACTGGGTGTGGCCCTCAAACAAACAAAATCACATTCCAGAGGGATAATACAATGGTAGAGCATTTGCCTTGCATGTGGCTGAATTTGGGTTCTCATATGGTCCCTTGGATCCTGCCAAGAATGATCCCTGAATGCAGAGCAAGTGTAACCAATGAGCATAGCCAGGTGTGGCCCAAAAACCAAAAATAAAACATTCCAACCATGGTGACGGGGCTCACTGGTAGAGCACCATGTGTATGCAGCACTGGGTTTAACCCCCTGCAACAAAAATCAAAACAAAACTAAAAACAATGATTCAAGGGCACAGAGATCGGACCCTAGCTTTATCCCTTCAACTTGAACAGTTCTTTCTTCTCCTCACGCCCAGAGTTATCCTCTCACCATCACATCGAGAGCCCGAGGCAGTTGGCCCTTCCAGACCCAGGAGTGCACGGCACCCAGCTCTCTTCGCTGCTCTTCTGAAAATCGCGGCTGCTGCTTCTGCATGGCCCGGAGCTGCTCCCGATCCTTTTTCAGTACAGAGGCCATGTCCCTGCTCAAGAAGGGGGTTCAGAAGGGAAAGGCTAGAAGTGGGGCTCAGCGTTCACACTCTTCCTGCCAGTGCCCACCCGCTCCTCATTCTCCTCCCCTAAATTCACACTCTGGGTTTCCAGAGTTTTCAAGTCCAGAAGAGCTGCCCGCATCCTGGAAGAAACTAATGATGGAGCTCCCATGAGTAAGGGTAAAATGGGAAGCCCTAGAGCAAAGCCAGTCCCAGAAAAAAATAAAAAAGCCCAAACCAGCCTCTAATCCCTCGGAAACTCACCTGGAGGGCACCTGGTACGTCATCATGACATGCTGGTCAGCATTGGCCATGAGCAGCCAGATGGGATCCTGGAGCACATACTTGATGACCTGATCCCCGGGCTCAACCCTACCCTGGGCAACTCCAGCCTCCGCCTCAGAAGAGTCGATGCTGCCAAAGTACTTGCTTGTGTGGCTGCTCTGACTGCTGCCTGTGAGGCAAGAGCAGGCGGAGACAGGCACCTGGCGTCAGAACGGCCCGTGCTCCCAACTCCCAGAGCCTCCTAAGGCAGCTTTCCAGGCCGCATAACCAGGCCGCTGGCCTCAGCCTGGCCCCAAGGAGCTCAGCCAACAGCAAGCCTGGTCTCCCCATACCTGTCACTGTCCTACCCCAGGAGATGCCGGAGGGCGGACACTCACGTGTGATGCTGGCTGAGGTGCTGCCGCCCTCCTGAGAGCCTGAACCAGATCCAGGGCCCATGGCGGAGCCCAAGGAGCCCGAGGCAGCAGAGCCTGTGCCCGAGTGAGAGTCCACCTGCAGCAGCAACTCCAGCAGGTCACTGGAGCCCGAAAGCGCGTCCTGATTAGAGGACTCGGTCACCTCCACCTGAGGAGGAGGAGTAAGGACAGGACAGGGATTACTTCTGCAGGTCGATTACTTCTACACCCAGCCCAAGTGGTCTCTGTTCTCACTCCATGACCGTGGGGCCAGGACAAGAGAGAAAAGAAGTGAAGGGATGCGGCCTGGAGCCCTTTCCAAGTGGCAGATGTGCTTTCACAGGTACTGGGTTGTTTTTGCCTCCCACCAGACAGACAGGACAGTGCCCACTCATTCGGAAAGTCAGCAGGGGGCTCCCACCCCACAATTCCATCTGCTGGAGACTGAAATGGCAGGCAGGCAGACAGAGCAGGAAGAAGCACCGAGTAGAGGAGCACGGGGCTGGGTGGGGGCTGGAGAGAGGGTGCAAAGAGGTCAGTGCTCACCAGTCTGGCCTCTGGCTCAGCAGCCTCCTCACTGGGAGGGGGGGGCCCAGCACTATCCCCAGAGCCCCCTGCAACAGCATCCCCCTCCACTCGGGTGGTCTCCTCAAGCTGCAGCAGATTTAGCTGGAGTGGGGAGCTACATCTCGAATTGAATAGTGGAGCTTCTGGGCGGTGAGTAGGGCTGGGGGGCAGAAGGGGCAGAGACGAAGGAGGAGAATGGGAGGCAGGAGTCGCAGGCCCCTCGGCAGAAGTCTGGGGCATCCCACAAGGGTAACTGGTTGGCGTAGGGAACAGACAGTTAGGGAGTACCAAGGCCACCATTGGGGTCACCAGGGGGGCAGAGAAAGTTGTAGAGGACATGGATGTAGGGGAAGGGGGAAGAGGTTGGGAGCCTCCTCGTGGAGAGAATACTGGAAGAGGGTAGGGCTGGACCACAGCTGGGAAGGGAGTAGTAGCTGGTGGTGGGGCCCAGGGGGCAGAGGATGGCATAGTTGAGGGGTGGGAGACATAGCAGGGGGCTTCGGTCCGGGGAGTCTGGTGGTGGCGTGAGCGCTTGGCTTTGGATCGGCAGTGGTGTCGGCGGCCAGAGGGCTCAGGGCCGTGGTGGCAGCCTGTGGGGAGAAACCAGGGTTATCCAGAGACTCAACCTAGGGGGTTAGCACCCAGGCCACCCCACCCCCACTGGCCTAACATGCTGGCCAGGGAGAGGGCAAAGTCCCCTAGAGAGAGTCTGGTTCTCTGGCTCACTAGAACAGAGGGGATTCAAGGAGGTTGGGAACCCTTCGGGAAGCATCATAGGAGCCAGGGAGACGGGTACTCACTGAGAAAGGAGTTAGGATAAGGTTAATGAGGGGTAGCATGGAGGCATGCACGCTGACAGGGCTGGAGGCGGGTAGCTCCATGGCTGAGTGGGCAGCAACTCAGGTCTGTCTGCCCAAATCCTTAGGAACCACCAGTCTGGGTCCTACTGCCAGTCAAGGCCCTGCTCTGGCTAGCTCACAATGGAGCAAGAAGCCTGGGAAAAGCCCCATCCTGTGTCTACCTGAAGAGCCCCTCTCTGAGCAAGTTGGAGGGCTGTCATCTGCCCTCGGAGTTCAACCCCCTCCCGGGGGGTCCCAGCCCTTCCTACGTAGAGCTCTCGATCATCGACAACTTGAGTTTGTGGCAGACAAACTTCCTGCTTGCGCCTGAAGCCTTCCATGCTGGAGATCTACCTGCCTGCCTCAGGACCAGCCCTGCCCGCTGCCCTCCTTGCTGAGAACTGCCACCCAGGGGGAAGGAGAGGAAGAGGCAAGTGAAGGCCCTGTCCCTCTGATGGGCCTGGCTTCCTGGAACAGGTATGTCACCCTCAAGACCCCCCTTTTCACCCAGCAGTCTGGCTTTAGACTGACTAATGGGTGGCTACCCGCTCACCAGGGGCCGAGGGAGCCATGGAGGAGCTGTGGAGGCCACGCAGCCTACCCAGGTCACGGAAGCGGCTGAGGAAGGCCTGCTCCTCCTTCTGTGTGTGCAGGGACAGAACTGCCTTGGTCAAGCCCACTGGGCGGTAAGCATCTGGGACTGGGTCAGGGGCTACTGCAGGGCTGAGGGCTGGGCCTGGAGCTAGCCCAGGCAGGTCCTCCATCATGACGATGTCTGAGGAAAGGGAAACGGGAAAAAGGTTATGGAGTTATTTTTGACCCAGATTAACAAATCACCACCCCCTCCCCGCCCAACGCTTGGCCATCCCGACCTCTGCCTACAGACCAGCCTGGGTCCCTTGCATCCCTCTTCGCCTGAGAACGGCTGGTCCTCTTTCCATGCTAAGAAGTCCCCGGATGAGAGTATACCCAGTCCCCTCCCCTCCTCGGGTGACACTTTCAAGATTATTTGAGAAGTACCCCCTTTGCCTGTCCCTCACACATTTTTCAGGTCAATGTCCAGAGACCCTTAAGGAAGAGGTTTTGATAGTTCCGATCTTCAGAACCCTACGCAGTCAGCAACCCAGATCTGAATCCCCCAGACCGACTGTGAACCCACAGGAAGAACACAGGCTGCTGGATGGGGAGAGGTGAAGCAGTACAGGTTGGCTGGGGTGGGCAGCAGAAGCAGCAGCCTGAGCTAAGAGGCCGCAGGGGCGGGTGAAGGTCAGCAGGAGGGAGCTGCGGCGAGGGGAACCAGTGGAGCCCCGGCAACGGCCCCTCATTCCATGCCCATACCCGACTCCGGGGGCTTCTTGTCTCCCACATGGACGATGGTGGAGCTGAAGCTACACTGACTGGTGATGGACACCACGCTCTCTGCCTTATTGGCCAGGGCGAGCGGGCTCAGGGCGCCACCCACCACTGGCTCCTTCCGAGGAGTGGCCCCCTCCCCAGACAGCACTGCTGATGCCGGATCTGTGCAGAGAGATGGCTGCAAGTTACCACCCTCGCCCCTCCAGGAGATTAAGAGGTCATATCCCAGGGCGGTGGGTAATGGGTTTAAAAGGCAGGGAGGAGTCTGGAGATTTGAGGGCTGAGGATGGGACAAGGAACAAAATGGGGCCCCAACGCAGAAACAGAGAGACAGGCTCACAGGAAGAGGACAGGGCCGTGAGTGGAGTACACACTGAGGGGGTCTTTTACCTTTCCTGGCCCCCACAGGGACTGGCCCTGTCTTCTGCTTGTCATCATCAGAGGCTGAGGAAGCAGTACAGGAGGAAGAGGAGGCACATTTACGCTTGGTCGTGCCGGGGATGCTGCAGCTCTCTAGGTACCTGTCAGTGAGCAGAGGAAAGACATGAAGGCAAAGCCTGGAGTGGGGTGCAGGTAGGACCCGAACAGAAAGGGCCAAATCGGTCTTACCTAAGAATGCTGTCCAGGCAGTTGATCTGTTGGTAGGAACAACCAGAGGCTTCCTTCCTCTCTGCCTCCTCAGGGACCACAGCTAGAGGGGCCTGGCTGGAAGGAGCAGACTCCAACTCGGGGTCTGGGGACCGGGAGGGATAGGTCCTAGCTTTGAATACGCCTGTAGCTGGAGAAGAAAGAGTAACATTTCTCTGGGTTCAGGGTGAAGGTCACAAGACCTGCAGATCTCACTCCTCACCTACACCCTCACCAACTCACTAGGGAGGCGGGGCCGGTTTAGTGGCCGGGTGCGGGACTCAATAAAGACCTGCTGGCCCTGGTGCTTCACCAGATGGACATCCTTACAGATCTGCTGGAAGGTCACCTGTGGGACAGACAGAACAGCCTCAGGGTCCCATGTGGCAACACACTGAGAGTTAAGCATGAAGGCAAAGATGAGAGCAGAACAAAGAGGAGGAGAAGGTGATAAGGTCAAGCTCCTCTAGGACTGGCAGGACTGATTCCTAGGAGAACCTGGGACTGGGAAACCAGAGGGTGAAGGGAAAGAGGGACACTCACCGGGGCAGGAGGGCCAGGCCCCTCGGTGTCTCCCCCGTTGCTCTCACTGGAGGAGCCAGGGCTGAGGAGAGGGCCTGGGGAAGTCACAGGACCAACTCCACAGAGCCCTGTTGAGGGGCTGTGCACAGGCTAAGGCAAGGAGAGTGACGGGTTAGGAGTCCACATGAAGCTCCCCTCCCCTTCCACACCCCCCAGATTCTCTCCTCTCCTCAACACAAACCTGTAACAGCAGCCGATGGATCTGCTCAGATAGTTCCTGGATATCAGGGTCAAGGGATAACGCTGGGCTGGGGGTAGGAGGAGTGAATACATCCTCATTCAGAGGTGCCCTGTAGGGTGGGGAAGTGTAAAGATGAGCCCTCTCACACAGGGTCCCCCACCCCTCAGGGCCAGCTCTGGGTGATGTCCCACTTACGTGCGTACTTTGTGGCGGCCTAAAACAAAGGCTACCTTTCGGCTCCAGGGGTGCACGAAGCCAGCCCAGCTGGTATCCATGGTGACATACTCCCCATTCCGGGCACAGAAGCGAATGGGGGAGTGATCAAAGGGCTGGCCCGCCAGCTGCAGGACTGGTTGAAATGGAAAATGGGGTAGCCATCAGCATGAGGGGCTGCTAAGGGGAGGAGCACCTATTGGAGTGGAATTCAGAAAGCCCAAGCACGAGGGAGAGGCAGGCAACTGCTCGGCTAGTTGCAAAGTCCCGGAGGAAAAAGAAGGCGGTGAGCAGAACGCAAGACTCACTTTTCTTGTGGATGGCCAGCATAAGGGGTCGGTCCTCGGGATGCAGAAACAGAAGCACTGGGGCCCCCAGGAGGTCCTGAGGGAGATAGCCCAGCAGCGGGGCAGCCCTGAAAGTGAAAGAGTCATCAAAGTGACAAGACCTCAGCCCTGGATTCCCATTTTCCTCCAAGTCCTGACCTCACCTTTCATCCACATCCTGGAAGAGGCAGCTAGGAGTGTGCCGTGTGGTGAAGATCCTCTTGTCAGGAGGGATTCTAGGAGCTGCAAACAGACAGTGTGGCTTGCCACTAGGGTTGATTAAGAAAGATCCAGTCCCTCAGCCTTCCACACTACCTGGGCTGAAATCCTCCAATATCTTTTTGGGCCACACCTCAGGGCTTACTCCTGACTCTGTGCTCAAGGGTCTAAATGCAGTAGCAAGGCAAACATCCTCGACGCTGTGCTATTTCTTTGCTCCCCCCACCCCCAAGCCTTCCCTGGGCCTTCTAACCTACAAAGAGAGTATGTTCAAGTTTCTTTCAGTAATAAAACTGAAAATCAAGGTAATTCTTGGCCCTCAAACTCTATCTCTGAAGGGGGCTCAGATCTTATCCTGACAGAACTCTGTTCCAGAGTGCTAAGGGATTCCACCATACCTCCCAGACTTATCCTGCCTTGCCCCAAGCCTGGAGAACCAACCCTGATCTGCATACGCCCCAGGCCGTATTGACCTTACCTTCATAACCAGAGTGGATGCGCTCTGCGATAAGCAGGCAACACGGCTGAGCAGGGGCTCCATCTGAGACCCGGATCTTGGTGACATATGGAATTAGGCGGAATGGCTGGTAACGAGGCCCTGGATCCCGGTCAGGACCTCCTCTAGCAAGAAAGAGGCATTAGAACTATCAATAGAGGGTCACTGATCCACCTCATAGTACACAGGGCAAAGAGGTGGGGAGGATGTTTGATCCTGCTTCCCACACCTACCTGATACGGCAGAAGACAGACTTCTCCTGGGTGAAGTCCCTGGCGCCTGAACCTGGGACAGATCAGAAGAGAAGTAAGCCCCGCTCTCCAGCCCTTCCCTGGCTGAGAAGAACCCAGCAATAAAAACTAAGAGGGCCCTGAACAGTGCTGGCACCTTTCCTCTGACTGATCATTCTTCCCTCCAAGCATTTGGGAACCTCACCTGCTGAAGTCCCAGTGCCCCAGATGGGCAGACGGGATGGAGCAGTGGAACCATAGAAGATGCCCACATCCTGGGGAGCCAGGAACTCTGAGAAGCGGGCCCCCTGGAATACATCCCGCTTGCAGCGTAGCAGGATACCTGCTTGCTCCGAAATGTAGACAATGCGGCCTGTCAGGAAGGAGACAGCCACGGAGAAGGTGTCCTGGGCAGAGGGTGAGGACAAAGGCATAGTCAGGAGCTGTGGTGAAAGGCAGAGGGGGCAAGAGGAGTGAGGCTTGGCTACACTGACCTGGTTGCGAAGTGTGTACTCAGACGTGATGTGCTCCAGTTCCTCCAGAGTATAGGTGGACATGTCCATAACACAAGGCTCCCCCTCCTCCAGGCTCCACTGCTGGTAGTACTCTTGGTTGGCTGCCAGGTGAGGGAAGTGGGGTGTTCAGTGGGGCCCGCCTCACCATAGTAGCCCTGGACCAGGACCTTCTGCCAGGAGGCACCACTCACCCTGCACCTGCTTGACACAGGCCAGCGCATACTGTAGTGTGGCCAGAGTCCCAGAGCGGCCCTTGCCCCGGCGCTCTGGCGGCAGTCGAAGTTTAAGCTCCCGAAGTGCTGTCATGAGTTCCTTCTGAGTCCTTGCCCGGGCTGACTGCTCACTGCTGCAGAGCCCACAGGGAGGGGGAGGGCAAAGCATTAGCCCGAGACCACGGCCTGGACCTCAGGCGCCCTCCCCCAGCTATCACCCCACAAACCTGCAGCCACTGGTAGATGGGTTGTCCTGCTCTGAGCTGGCACTCAGGAGACTGTAGGCAATGGAACTGCTGGGTGGGGACGGACTCTGAGAGTTTGTACTAAGAGAGAAGGAGTAGGCCTGAGGTGAGGGGGAAGTACCCAGCAGCAAGGAGCCTGTCTCCTGGAGCACTAACCCATGCACCCTCGGGCCCTGCAATACCGTCCATACATACCTCTTGCTGCTCTCGGTGGTCTCCAGCAGGGCTGAGTCCTTGCAATTGCCCGAGGAGGAGCTTTGTGAGCTCCGCTGAGACGCACCCCTCGACTCTGGCCCGTTGGACTCATTGCCACTTGAGCCATTGCTATTGGCATCCATATCATCAGCCAGGTTGGGGTCTGGACAAGGCAGACGCTGGGGAGGCCCAGGGGAGGGGGTCCCTCCAGGACAAAAGGATTCCCTGGTCCTGGAGTCCCCCCCCCCATCAGCCCCTTCTTGGGCGCTACTCATGTCTGGGCCATGGGAGGGGCAGAACAGGGACAATGGAGAGGGTGCACAATGGATCCACAAGGGAGAGCCGGAAGGCCAGGCTGAAGTGGAAACCAAACCCCTGAGAATCGAGAAGCCCGATCGCAGTCAGTACCTGGAGAGGAAGATCAAAAAGGCAGGTTTGAGAAAGCTGGACTCCATGCTGACCCTCCCCAGTCTTCTTGCTCCTGGGACCCCAGCCTCTGATTGGAAACGTAAATTATTTCAGATCCCGCTCCCCCCCTTAAAAAAAAGGCTGATGGTTAAAAGAGGCCTCTCTTGCATCTTACCCCACTTCCCCCGCCAGTAAGGCCTCGGCGAACAGAGACAGAGTCGATTAAAATTATGGCAGCGGGCCGAGGCCTGGACACTTTCCATCCCCCAATTCTCCATTTGGTTCCTACTTTGCCTGGGACTCCAAAGCTCTGTTTCGAGAGGTGGCAACCTCCTATATTTAGGCCTCCTGGCTAATTTTATCCGGTGTGGGAAGGGCGGCACCACCCCCACTGCACATGCGCGACTTGCAAGCGCCCCACCACGCGCTTCCGCCGCCGCTGCTGCCGTTGCCAGGGAAACGGACGTCAGCAGCTGAGCTCAGCGGTTGCTGGAGGGACCACAGCAGGGTGGGAGGGGTGACCCCTCCCCCATTTCTCAGAGGAAGCACGGAAGAACCCACTCCCAAACTGGAGGGTGTGGCGGGGGGGTCACCCACCTTTATTAGAGCCTCAGTTCCAGGGCAGATGGAAAAAGGGAGGCCCTCGGGGTTCCTGGGGCGGGCCTTGCTCCAGAGAAACACACAACTGCCGGGCCCTCGGCGCAAAAGGCCCCCGGTCTGGCTCCAGGTCTTTTTAGTCTGGATTTACAGCCTCTCCTTCCCTGGCCCCGGCTCTTGTCTCGCCGCCAGTACCACGGCCAGCATCTACCATTGTTAAGGACCCAGAAATTCTCTCTACCCGGTCCTCTACTCCCCTAGTCACACACCACCACCCAACCCCCATCCAGGCAGGCACACTCAGCTCGGAGCAGGGTTCTACAGTTAGCCCACAGTTCTTCCCCGACTCCGAGTCGACCACACCCCCAAGCCCCCGAGCCTTTATTGAGCGCCGGGAGAAAAAAAGAAAGACTGGCCAGGAGCAGGAACTAGCGCCGAGAACGGGATGTTCCAGGCCGGACCGGCTGACATCACGACAGGCGCGGGGCCAGGGAACGAAAGGGAGAACCCGGAGAGCTTGGAAGGCCTGCAGGGGTCCTGATGCTCAGGCAAAACCAGGGACCCTCCCCCAAAAGACGAGCAAGGAGGCAAGAGTAAATCTGCGGAGGGTCCGGTGTGGGGCCAAGACAGCCGGGGAGAAAGGGGCGATCGGCAAACGCTAAGTATGGTAAGCAGGTCAGGAGTTCGGACACCCAGAGCAGAGTTGGGGAGAACACTTGGGGCACCACGGACAGGATGGCGATGGTCAGTCACTGGGAGGTAGGTGTGCCGTTCGAGCTCTTAGGCCGAAAGCGGCACAGAAGGCTGAACGTGAAGGGGTTCCGGCTCGCGATCGCAGACCTGTCCCAGAATGGCCTCGTAAATGCCTACCTTTTCCGAGCGAGCGCCTCTTGCCCACCGCCGTTACAGCCCGCCGCCGAGTGGGAGCTCCGCGGGGCCAGGAGGCGGGTTGCATAATGCCAGGCACTGCCCCTCATTGGCCTCCTGCCAGCAAGCCTCAGACCCCGCCCTGGATTGGCTGAGGATTTCGTCCTGGCGCCTGATTGGCTACTAGCTCTCACTGAGGTCACAGCTGTGTCACACACACCGGCGCACGTGGATCTGGGTGCTGGCGCTAGACTGAAGGGCCTCAGACACCACCACCCAGCCAATGGGCGCAGGATGTCTTGCACAGTGAATAATGGAGGGGAGGAAAACTAAGCTCACCTGGGTTACCATAGGTACTTAAGCATTCTGGGCCCAGGATAGATAGTACAGCGGGTAAGGGCCTTGACTTGCACATCAAACCCGAATTTCATCACAAGCATCCCATGTGGTCCCCGAGCCTGCCAAGAGTGATCTCTGAGGGCAGAGCCAGGAGTAAGCCCGAGTACAGCCGGTGTGCCCCAAACACAAAACCAAAATATTTAATTAAAAAAAAAAGGAACTACATACTTTCTGAACTGACCAGCCTTGTAGAGCCTTACTAGGGATGGAATAAAGACCCTGAGTGAGAGGTGGGCTAAACGATCAGATGACTGGGCTAGAAAGGTGGGGGTGGGGAAAACAAATCTGGTGTAGCCTTTCCTGGGTTCTCCTCCCCAGCCTCATCATAATAAAAGTTATTTAACCCAGGCCCTTTCTATGACACTTGAAATCCTGTGAATAGCTAAAAGCACAGGTAGGAGGCTGAGGAAGAGTCTTGCAAACAAAAGACAAGATATGAGTACCAATGGAGGCTGTCTGGGGGAACAAAGACAGGTGCTTCTGGGACCAATCATAGCAAAAGTCTCCTGGCAGCCTACTGTAACTAGTACTTCTCTCCTAAGGATGCAGCCACCCACAAAACTGCCCCCAAACTGGAGGCCAGGAAACCAGGGCTAGCAGAAACAAAGAGAACACTGACAGCAGAGGCCAACTGGGACCCTAGACAGAGAAGAGTGAAGTGTCAAGAACTTCAGATACATTATAAGAAGCCAAGGCTTTCCCTCCACTGTATTCCCAATAATAAATATGGTGATTTTATTGCTAATAAGAATAGACAGGGAAAGACTGAGCAATAGAGAATGGGCTGAATTTTTAAGGATGAACAGAACATTGCATCCAAAATAAAGAACAGGGTCCTCTTTGGGGGATTAAAGTAGCAGTTAAACCCAGGAAAATTACCAATTAAAGACACACCTCCCTTTCCCAGAAACTCAGCCGAGTTCCTCTTAGAGCTCCCTGGAAATATAGGTGATAATCGAAGGAGACCCCAAGCTGATTCTGATATCATGGATGATGCGCACCCCTTACTCTATCATGAACTCTACGCTTTCTTTTAAAATTCTATTTGCCATGGGCGGGGAGTGGTAGTGGAAGGGCTCTGTGGAAAAGTTGGGACACCAGGATGTTGTCCATAAAATAGCCTTAAAAAATAGCCTTACAAAGCAAGGAGACGAGAGAGGTAGCACAGAGGGTCGGGTGCTTGTCTTGCATGGAGCCCACCGGGGTTCGATCCCTGGCACCACATGACACCGCCCCCCCACCTCCAAACCCACCCGGGGTGATCCCTGAGCACTGAGTCAGGAGTAAGCCTTGAGCACACCAGGAGTGCCCTACTCTCCCACCCACAAAAAAAAAAAGGAACAAAAGCTTTGGGAGTCTGTATTCTCTGGTCTCTGCCACTAGAAAATGTCCTCCAGCCCGTGTCCTGAGACCCTGTCCCTTTTCCGCTTTCAGAATTTCCCTGAAAACCTTTTTCTTCCTCTTCAGTAACACCGGTAGTCTCCGCTCTCCCACCGCTTCCTCCTTTTACATAGGAAAAAGAATCGTGCGCGCCCCGCAGCCCCCACCTGCCCCCGCGGGCCTGGCGATCCTGCCTCACGGTCCCCACAGTAACCGAGCCCCGCTTCCGTCAATGGAGGAGAGGGGGCGGGCGACCTCGGCCGTGACGTCAAAGCGGAGGCCGAGGGCGGAGCGACGCGCCGGGGAATGTGGGGTAGGGAGGCCCGAGAGGCAGCGGTTTGGGAGGCAGCCAGGCCTGGAGGGCGGCGGCCAGCGCACTTGGGAACATCATGTTCTCCTGGCTAGTGGCCCAGTATATGCACCCAGCCGAGGCTTCTCCCCCAATCCAAAGACTGCTGTCCTGTTCCTAAATCAAGGATTCCTGAGAGAAGATTAGGAGAAGGAGTCCTCGACCCCGCCCAGGAGCCCAATCCCAGCTCTTTATTCCAATCAGGGCGTCTGCCTACAGTAGGCTTGATCCTACAGGTCCCGGCACTGACTCCCCCACCCCCGCCCCACCCCCATTCAAAACTAGACCCTTCTGCTGGCCCCTACCAAAGAGGCAGGCGGGGAATTTGGAGGCCCAGGTCTTCCCTTTGCTCATTCCCTTTGCTCATTCCCTAGTGGCCACCTATGTGCATAATTTCTTGTTAGAATGGCAGCAGAGGGAGGAGTGGGGAAGAGAATGGGTCTAAGATGAGGAAACCGAATTGGAACAGAACAAGTGTCCCAGTCTGGGGCCTGGATCCTGGATCCTTGGAGAGGGATTAGGATTGGGGACAGGACCTGAAGACAAGTCACAGAAATTTATGAATTTGCAAATAGTTCCCAACCACAATATTCTCACTCTGTCACTGTTGCTCTTACACCCAATAGCCTTTTATTTTGTAGCTGATTTTTTAAAAAAATCATTCTAAGGACTTCATCATTTCTTATCCAATCCCTGGAATAACCTTGTGCGATGGGTATCCATTATTATCTCCATTCCACAAGGAATTCTTACGGCTCCGAATTAATAAACTTTGCCAAATTGCCTCACTGTATGTTCTCAGACTCTTACCAAATGGAGCCTAGAGTTCAACCTGAGCTCTTGACAATTGGAATTCTGGTTACTTACCCTTCAGGAACCTGTGAGCTATTATGCAGTACTGAGGTACCTGGATGTTAAATACCCTGAGGACTACGAGTTCCTGGAACACAGACTGCCTCCCACCCTTTCTCCCTTTGGCCAATCTGGAGTCACGCAGGCTTCATTCCCCCCACACACTGACTCATCACAGCCTCGATTTTCACATCGTCAGGTGATCATCCAGACAACCACCAGTCCCAGATATTTCCTAGGAATCCCATTTCCTCACTTTTTCACCTTACTTCACATGACCACTGTGGTTTCTACAGACACCAGTGCACCAATCTGGTGTCTCTTCATCTTCAAGAGTTAAAGACTCTGGGTTGGAATGTTAAGTACAGCAGGCAGGGCACTTGCCTTGAATGAGACTGACCCTGGCACCTCAGATCATCCCTCAAGCAGAGCCAGGAGTGATCCCTGAGTGCAGAGCAGGGAGTAAGCCCTGTACTTCATAAGGTGTGGCCCAAAAACAAACAAACAAACAAAAGGATAAAATAAAACTCATCCGTAGCCAATATGAACAAGGACTACCTCCCTCTCAGGACCCAAGAGTTTATCTCCCACCTTGCTAGGACTGTTCGGAGCCCCACCAACTCAGATTTTATACAAGAGACATCCAGAGCATCCTGTAACAATGCAAACTGTAAATCATCCCTGGTCAAACCATAACGTCAGTCCTTCGGTACCTACCATATGCTCTACCAGGGTCTATTATTCAGAGAGCCTGCCCTTTTCAAGGATTTCAGGTGTGTTAGCCACACACCCAAACGGGAGGCACCAACTGGACCACTCCCGACCGGTTCAAAGGGTCTCAACCCTGAACTCCGCAGGGGAGGCACTGCTGAGGGTTTCTGAGATCCACTCGAGGCAGGCCGGTGTCCTAGTATACTAGGGCGGTGAGAGAGCTGTTGTCACTGGCTCTACATCCATTCTTCACGCTCTCTGTTCCCCACATCCGTGAGGGCTCCTGCTGCGGAGACCGAGCATTCGCAGGATTCGGGTCCCTCTACTGCTCCTAGTTACTCACAGGAACGTACCTCTCACAAAAACCCAGACCTGCAGCCGCTTAGCGGCTTCCTCCCTCCGTTCCCATCCCCACAACACTCACCACCAGGTGCTTCCGCAGAACCCGACGTCTTCACTACTAAGCCCACGGCCACTAGGGCTTGCTCCTCCCGGCCCGCCCGCCCTCAGGGTGCCCCGCCCCGCCCCTCAAGCGTATTGGCCTGAGGACTCCGACCCATGCCCGCGCCGCGTGCGCCCGCGGACCCGCAGCGCAGCAGTCATTGGCTCCGCTGGTCGCTGCCATCTCCTCATTGGTCAGCTTGCAAACAGTCAGAGACAGATCCACGTGAGGGAGGGGCCGCCCCGGAACGTCGATTGAATTTTCAACGAAGTCACGCCCCCATCCACTCTCCGTGTTGCTATTGGCTGTAAAACATCCGCCGACCTGCCTACAATCCGTGACACACGAGCCAGTCCAGCCCTCCGAATCTTTTCATAGGCTGAGACCTCAGAGCTGTAGGGGACACGTGCCGCCGGTCTCACGTGGCAACTTGTTTACCTAGAAGCTGGGGATTTTCCTTGACGATATACTTACCCGAACTGCGGCGTTCGCGCAGGCGCAGCGTGCAGAGCACGCAGGCGTAGCAAAGAGCAGCGGTGGCATCGGTGAGGGCGCTAAGTACCTAGCCCTAGCAAGAAGTCCCGGGTGTGGTTAGAGCGCCCTCGCACTGATCTCTGGCCCTGGGTCCCTGACACTCCCTGAATCTTTTAAGTTATGAGGTAAAAAGGGTTTTCAGATCTAAATGCAGTGTGATGATGAGGATGAAAGTAATAGATACATCCTTACTATTTTCTATGGACCCAGACTATTCGCTTCTTACAAAACTGAAGGGCACCATACTTACCTGAGGTCCAGAAAAGTTACGTAATCTGTCTGAATTAACGTGCTAGTCAGTAATGGGGTCAAATCTGAACCCACGTCCTCGACACTGGCTATAGAATACAGCAACCCTAAACTTGTATTCGGGAGAAGACAGGCAAAAGAACCATGAGCACTGTCTGGAATCTTTTTATAAGAGGTGGGCATT